CTACAGAAAATGGATGTTCTAACTGTTCTAGCTGTCTATCAAGTCGGGCCGAAAAACTCGTAGACACATTCGAATAAGTGGAGCCAAGATCAAACAGGGCATAAGCCTCTAGAAAACAGACCGAAATCATACCTGTAATCGCTGTATTAGACGCGCTGAGCATCCTGTTGTGTCAAGACATATACACGGGCTTCTCCCCAACCCCATCCTCTACCACCTATCCCTCGACCACATGCACCTGACGGCTCCACCCTCGTCTGCCCCCCGGGCTACGATGTAGTACCCGTTGCCAGAATATCCTCTGATGAATGCTGACAATCCCTTGTCAAGTGTCCCTGCTGCCCACAACAATAACAAGCTCCTATCCCCCGGGCAACCTCTACGGGCACTCTCTAGCCACGTGACCCCTCTGGCCACATATGTAACAGGTTCCTGTAGCTCTGGTGGTCTCCTGGGAGAACGTGCAGTCCCTGTCCACGTGACCCTGCTGGTCACATCTATAACAAGCCCTTGTTGCCCTAGGACACTGTCCTGAATGCACTCGGCCACATCTAACATAGCCAGGAGTAGAAGACGCAAGACTACCTGACTGGGCTGTACTACCTGCTGACTGTCTACTGCCCGAACCGCTATGCCACGACGCTGATGACTGTGAGAAGAGGGTCCGTTCCTAGAACTAAAGCTGCCGCTGTAGGAACCCTCAATCTTCACCCTCTTTCTCGGCCCTTCCGAAGTCTGCTCAAGCACCCCAGAACCTTCCAAAAATCGGGCACTCTCTACTGCACGGGTATAACTAACAAGTCCTATCTGTGATCCCAACGCCACCAATAAAGAAGGAGCCAATCCCCGAATAAATCTCGTAGCCCGCGTCTTGTCATCAGGAATATGTCCAATAGCATACCGGGATAAGCGTATGAATCATTCTTCATACTCAGAAACTGTCATACCGGGGGTCTGTACCAGTCTCTCGAACTCAGCAACAAACTCCACCTGCCGGCTAGTGGGCAAGAATCTCTCTATAAACTCTCTACAAAACTCCTCCCAAGTTAGAGGAGCTATATCTGCCAGTTTGGTAAGCAATTACTGGTCGTACCATGCCTTAGCCACACCCCTAAATCTAAAGTGGCCAGATCCACCTGTTAGAGGTTAGAACACTATAAAATCCAAAATATACCATCCAAAGCATCCAAGAACTCTTGGGGATCCTCCGTCACAATCAAGCTAGAGAAAGTAGGAAGATCTAGCCCTAGGAAATCTTGAAAGTATCCATCAAAACCTGACTGCTGCTGTGCCAGAGCTGAACTGGCTAGAGTGGTAGGGGTGTTTGCTGGCATGCCAGCTGGGGCCGACGACTCCGGTGCTGCCCCTGCAGGAGCAGTAGTAGTTCTTGCCTGCCTATTAACGGAAGTAGACTGCCCACTCAGTCTAGCCCCACTCCTTGCGATACTTGTAATGCTCCTCTAAAGTCCTTGAATGCCCTCCAAAATACCTGTCAGCAATCCAGGCAGCATACTCAAATTTGGACCCGCTACCATCAAAGGTGGGGCCGCTACGTCTTCAAGGTCCTCATGCACCCCGAGATCTACTGTCTTTATAGGAGGAGTACATGCATCTCCCAGAGGATCCATTTACATAGAATAACATAATTAGAATAATACCAAAAATACGGGCATAAGGAATTTAGGAGGCTGGTACCACATATATCCTAAGAGGTCCTCGGCAATCCTTCTATTATGAAAGTGGGGCCCTCACCTTCATAACAGAAGCACTACCTAGAGCTCTGATACTAACTTTGTCGCAACCTAATCCAGGAACCGTGACCGGCACTAGAGTCCACGACCTTAGTCAGCCTAATAATAATGAAACCATACCAAAAGATCAACTAATTCACATTTATATGCATCATGTAGTCCAGATACAAACATGATCCTATCTGAGAGATATAGGGAGCACTATAGTACAAAAATAGATAAACTAAAGAACTCACTCGTACATCGATCGACTCTCAAAAAGTGCAAATCTAGAACACTGATATATGGTACATGAATGGTCAACTCGATCTGAAAGGATAATAAGGTGTGAGTCGCGAAACTTAGTGAGTAAGGATGATACCTAAGCTATGCATGGTGGGATATGTATCACAGAAGCAAACCAAGGCATACACATACATACATACACAATGAGCAGTATCAACATTCAAATAGTATGTAGGAGCACAACAAATCCTACCACAAGACCCCAGCCTCGTGGCTCTCACGATCGGAGGCATCCTCCATCTCTCGATCGGAGACATCACAAACATATCAGATGGTCATCTCACGATCGGAGGAATCCTTTGTCTCACAATTGGGCTCAACTCAATCACAAGCCATGCTTCCGGTCGAAGGTATCCTCCATCTCACGAACGAAGCAATCCAGCCTCGTTACATAGCATGAATCCCCACATGTCAAGTCAAATAAATATATACATTGCATACGTAATCTTGCCACAATATCGATAACAATGTACAAATATAGCTCGCTGTCAATTTATAAAACATATAACACAAATCCTAGAGTAGTATAAGCCAAAGTACAGTAAGAAGCATAAAGTCCATCATACCAAGAAAACATAGTATAAAATGCATGCATAGAGAGGTTATCATCACTCACAGTATGGGTCGAGTCAAAAAGTAAAGTCCCAGGTCAACTCACCCAACTCGATGGTCCGAGTGTGCCTCTGTTGATGAATCTGTAATCAAACCACTCAAAACCATCAACATCGCCAAAGTTCGCATAAGAACAAACTCAAAAATCTCAAATTGGGCTCAAATCCCAACCCGGCACCCTGGCACACATCTCGAGGCACCACTATCCATCGTCAGAACCCATATGACCCACTAAAACTCAACAATTCTGCTCGACAACCTTCAGTAATAATGAACCAGCCTTCTCGACCCCTGAACCGAGATGAACTGGCCTCCGAGACTCTCAAACCTGGCTAACCTAGCCCAAAACCACCTCAACTCAACTCAATTGGTCACAAAACCTTCAAAAATGGATCCAGAAGGCCTAAAAACCTAAGGAACCGGTCTGAATCGGCCGAAAAGGCCTTAAACCAGCCCTGAACCGGATCAAAAACCCAAATCCTAAGCATCGGCCCACAAATCAGGCCCGGTTCACCTTAAACCGGACATCCAAAAATCTCCAAATTACATGAGTAGCTAGGTTTCATCATGTTGAATCAAGAATCGGTTCAACTGCTCCAAGAACTGGCCTAAAAATGGGTGAACCGACCAGCTGAAAGGTGCTACACTAAACCAACCGGTTCACCTTGAACCGAGCACCCAAAATTCCTCGAACCCATCTAGTCTGATAACCCTCTGCCCAATGGACCGGGAACCGGTTCAATTGCCTAAAGAACCGGCCTAAGAAGCCTTGAACTGGCCGGTCAAACTTGGCCGGTTCATTTGCCTAAAACCCTAACTTTAAATAATTAATTAATCAATTCTGGTTTATTCTATCCCTGCTATTCCCAATCAGCCCTTATCCCAGCTTCCCTTATCCTCAAGGATAGCATATTCCATCCCTCAATGAGTCAACCCGGATGGGTTGACTCGTTTCCATCAACTCAAGGCTGAGTTGACTCTCCGGGTCAACTTGGCCTGCCCACTCCAGGCCTGCTGGGTCTGGGCTGACCCACAGCCTAGACCACAAACCCGTCACCCCTTTGCCAGACCAGGCCTAGCCCGAGCTGGCTCCGCCCAACCAGGGTAGGATCCGATTTTCCGGGTGTTGTCTTCTCTACCCGGGTGCCTGTAACGGCACCCAGTGGCCGGAAAACAGCAAGGAAAAACCAGCAAGACGACTCACCTCGATTGGTGACACTTAGAAGGCAGACTCCCAAGCTCGGCGAGCTCCACAAGGTTATTCAACCGGCCAACTCCCAATGCAAATCCAAAAACTGAACCACGTCCCTTAGAACCCATCGGAGCCGCCACTGCTTTGCCCAAAATTTTCCCTCTCCCTCGCACAATGATCGAAATTAGACGAGGATTTGTGTTCTTCTGGTTAAATAGACCAAGAAGGCGGTGCAAACGGCTGTAACTCATCAGTGCATGCTAATCACACCAGTAGGTGGCCAACTGAATTTTTTTTTTTTTTAATTATTATTGGGCCATAACAACCTGCTTATGAGTTATTGATAAAGAATCTGACATTCCTTTTTTTTTTTCCCATTTCCATTCTTTTCATTTGAAAAAATAACAAAGGAAAAAAAAAAGAAAGAAGAAGAAGAACTAACAAGATATGATTAGAAAACATTTGATTTTGACTAATATATGTGTAGGTGCAATTTTTTCTCTCAATTTTGATTATTATAAATATGGAAGCATACTGACATTGAAGGGAAGTCTAACTTGGTTTTTTAATTAAACAATTACTTCTTAATATGTAGCACATATGTTAAATGGGTTTAATATCTCTTAATAAAAAGGATTTTAATTACGTACCAAACATTAAATTCAACCGACAAAAAAATATGTGCAAAATTAAAATCAAAATTAATAAAAGAGAAGTGTGCAATTAATTATACTAAAACTTTCCATTAATTAAAATCAACTAGCGCAACGAGGGCTCAAATAGAAATTGCTACACTTGTCAAATTACTAATGCCAGTTAATGTTGATTGTAATTATAGCTTAACCAAACAAACAAAGCACGAATGGATCAACCCTGACACGTGGAAGCCAGAAACTCCACCAACGTTTTAGCAATTAGCACTCCAAGGTGTAAGCACTAGTGCTGGCTCGAGTAGTGCAATACTGATTCAATCCTTTAAATTTATGCGCTTTGATGGCTCACTCAATGTTCAAATTTTCCATTGGCTGCCGTGTGTACACCAAATCTATGATTAAGGGGCTGTTTGGCACCCAATAAAATCCAGCCAGCTTCATCTCAACTACAACCATTCACTATTAAATAGTTTGTTTCGTTTACCAAATTGAGCTGTGTCTCTTCTGATGAATATGTCAAGTAGCAGCTTTACAGCTTCTTCTATACTCCTAACGTACTGCTTTCTTCTGTCATGTCTGGTCTCAAGCTCCCAACTAGCTACAGATTACTACTCAACTACTTGTCCCAATCTTCTTAAGATCGTACGTGAAGAGGTTCAGAATGCCCTCAGGACTGAAATGCGAATGGCAGCTTCTCTGCTCCGGCTGCATTATCTGGATTGCTTTGTAAATGTATGCACATTCTTCAGCACCCTTTTTTATATTGTTTATTTTTCATTTTCCATTTCGAATAAACTTTGCAGGGTTGCGATGCCTCGGTTCTCTTGGACGGGAGAGACAGCGAGAAATTTGCTGTGCCAAACCTGAACTCAGCCAGAGGATTTGAAGTTGTGGACAAGATCAAGAGTGCCGTAGAGTCTTCATGCAGAGGCGTTGTAACCTGTGCAGACATATTAGCCATAGCTGCTCGAGATGCAGTTGTCCTAGTTAAGGACTGCCCGTCCATGTTATTGTAAGAGTATGAATAGGTTTGTGTTGAGGTGAAGCAAATTTAATGGAAGTTGATGTTTTGCAGAGCGGAGGAAAACATTGGAAAGTTGAACTGGGAAGGAGGGATGGGGTGGTGGCAAATCAGACGGCCGCAAATACTGAAATACCTTCTCCGTCTGCATCACTTGATGCTATCACCTCCAAGTTTGTGTCGTTGGGCTTAAGCCTCACTGATATGGTGGTCCTATCTGGTATGCCTCCATAAAAATAAAAATATTAAAAGAAATGGTTCACTACAAGATAACACTTTACCTTAAGGAAAAAATTATCGTAGAATTAATAAAATTAGTCACAGAAAAAGGTTCCATAATGGATTTTGATTTGTCACATATCCGCCACTATATGCTTTGTTATTGATTAATTCTCTAACGAAAATAAAGTCAAGCTCGCAACTAATTTGTAACCAAAAAAAAAAAAAATTCTATCATATATCCATATTTGAATTTATGAAATCTGTGACGGACTCTATTTTTGTAATGGGATTTTTTCATCAATGGGCTGGTTGCTAAAAAAAAATTAATTACAGAATTAATGAAATCTGTAACATAACATGGTTCGTTGATAAATTTTAATTTGTTCAAATTTATGACTACATATTTTATCATTTATAGGTCTGTGATAGAAATAAAGCATATCATAGAGCTAATTTTATAATAGAACTTCTATCACAAAGCAAAAAGTAATTTTGGGACAGATCTATGTTTAGATTTATAAAATCTGTGATCGACTATCTGTTTGTGATGAACTTTTTTCATCACTGAGTTGGTTGCTAAACCAAAAATAATAATAATAATAATAATAATTTTTAATTGCGACAAAGTCCATATAAGTAACTCCATCACTCAATCAATAAAACCAGTCATTAGCTATTGATTAATTTAATTATGAGTGTACAAATATGCTGAATCATCATGTGTACGTGTAGGAGGACACACAATAGGATTGGCAAGGTGTGCCTCCCTGAGCAACAGATTATACAATTTGACAGATCCAGACGTGGCGTCCGATCTGAAAACCAGATGCCCAGCGGACGGAGATGGTAACAACACAGTTCCTCTGGACAGAAATTCAAGGGATTTGTTTGACAACCATTACTACAAAAACCTGGTAAGTGGAAAGGGTCTTCTTCAGTATGACCAGATGCTGTATTCTAGTGCTAGTGGCGAGGCTGCATCCGCCACAAAGGCTTTGGTCGAGCGTTACAGCAACGACCTCAACGTTTTCCTTGATGACTTTGCAATTTCCATGGTCAAGATGGGTAGAATCAGTCCCTTGACTGGCTACAACGGTCAGATACGCAAGAACTGCAGGGTCATTAATAATTAATTTAGTAGACATCAGATTAATATTCCAAAAATACTGCTCTCAGTCTCATAAACAATTGCATAACAGCTTTATTGTGCAATAATAAACAGGTATTTCCAAGCTTTTTTCCTGGATAATTCCGTTATTTTTATTTTTAATTATATGAAGAGTGTTTTTGGATTAAAATGTGAGAAAAGAAAGTAAGAAATGAGAACGGTTTATTAAAAATTTTCCTTTTATTTTAATTTTTATTTTTGTATGAGTAAGTATAATTTTTAATAATCAAATGATTCTATTAAGATCTCATAATTTTTTTGTAAATAAAAAAGAAAAATTCTGTTTTATAAAGTTTTGTTTATCATTAATTCTTATAAATTGCTATCATTTGGTGTTACCTTAGTCAGCCGCAATTTTAACATTTGAAGAATTCTACGGTACCCAGGCAAAATCAAGGGTTTTGAAACCCAGCTTACATGGACGAGTAACAATTAAAATCGTGGACAAGAAAAATGGGTAAAAAATTATCCTGTAAATCCTTCAAATTCATCAAATCAAGTTACAATTCAACAAAGGCATAGACCTCTTTCAAAATTAATGTAATTTAGAGGATTTACAATTAAATTTCATACCAAAAATCATGTCATCATCCATCTCGTTGACTTATCCACGTGCCTAATAATTATCAGTCCAGGTAGAATTGGGTTTCAAATCCCTCAATTTAGAGTGGGTACCGGAGTGTTGTCCTTAACATTTTTCACATTTTTGTAATCATATATCACCAAATCACTCCCGTACAAACTCATTGTTAGGGGTTGCAAGTCACAAGATTTATATTTTTAAGCACAAAATGGTTGACAGTTGCAGCAACACATTTGTTTTCAGAATTGCTAATACTAGATTTAAAGTTTAAAACAAAATGAGAAAACGTAAATATTAATTCAAATTCTTCAACAAATATAATAAAAGATGGAACTACCCAAGCATAAATTAGCAAGGTCTTTTATATAAGAAGAATAATTCAGTATCACCTGATGTTGAAATTGGCCTACATAAATACTTAATATGTCAGGGACGAATTTGGCGGGAAAAAGAATCCCCTTGCTCCTACCATGATATTAGTCCTACATTACACTTAGTCACCGTAGTTGTTGACTATCAGTCCAAAGTAGCCTATACAATCCCTTGGTCCGTTTGTACCATGCCATGTCATACAATGTGACAAAGGAATAGCACTTCTTGCTGTGCAAACAAGCACTTATCCTACTTGGCACAAAGCTCATGCTCCTAAAGGACTTCGAATATATGCCTCAAATGTTCTACATCTCGGTCCTACGCCTTATTGTAGATCACAATGTCATCAAGGTATATAATTACAAATTGTAACACAAAAAATGAAGTGTTCATGCATCTTAGATTATTATGATAAGAAAGTTTTCATCCCTCCTTCAATCACGTCATTCAAATTTTATCCAGGACTCTTTAGTTGGTGAAACTCAAACAAATGCAGTCAATTTACAAACCATTTAGCCACCAAAGGCAAACAAATGATCTTTAGCTAAGTAAATTAACAAATATCGTTTCTAGTTTTACAACCCCATCAAATTCCCAGACACTAAACCACATAAGCACTCCTATTACCATCTTCCTACTTCATGAAACATACTGTCTCTCAACACATTCTTCAATAATGATCACAACTCTCTATCTACATTTCAGAAGCACCATTTCCTGCTTTTTTGCAGAATATTTTTCACTTTTGATCAAGAATTATAAATTACACTAATATTCATTTGTATAGATAATAATTAATTGTCATGCACTAAGCCATTTTGTTAGTTTACTTACAGAATTTTCTGACCTGTTCTCAGAGCTGCTGTTTATAATATTTCAAAAGCTGAAAATATAGGAGCTCATTCCACGTATCAGGTACACCAGGAAGGCACCAATGGCTGCAATCTTGGAACTGCAATGTTGACTGCCTTTTCTCCTCTGTTAACTTTTGCTTCCTGTAAATTGATGGATGCGCATCCTTGCGATAATCTGCCATTCTTGTAACATTCAGATAGAGCACTGGTGTCCTCATCCCTTTCATCACGTCCTCCAACACTCTCATCTTCTGTGGATAATCAGACAGATATATTGCATTCTTAATTGGCTCTGTGTCTCTGTCACATTGCCCACCAGAATTCCATTGTCCTCCCCTGTGCAGTAAAATCTTACGAGCTCAAAAAGGGATATTGAATTTTCAGTTTTTCCACACTACGATGTTGCAGATGATAGTGTAAGAATTTTCATGGTTCTATTACCTAAAATGTGCAGGAGAGTAGCCACTGAAGAACACAATTGTTTTTGCAGGATCTACATTGGCATCAATCCACCTAGCCCAGGTCATCATAGCCTTCCGAAAAGCCTCCATAACATTCAATTTAGCATAGATATGGTTACCTTCCTGGAAGTAACCCTTCCTACAAGTTTTATTTTTCTTCTTTTTTTGGTTATCAGTTCTTTATTGCATGTATTTTAAATAGAAGTATAAGTTATCAATGATATAAGAGAGAGAGAACAGTACCCTTTTGCAGTTCTTCCTCGTGTCCACCAGTGTCCAGTGTTAAAAATGAGGACATCTGCACTTCTGTATCTTCCAGATGATCTTTCTAGCAAATCAAGACGAAGAGTTGATCTTTTAGACCCATTCACATAAAGCATTTCCCATTCTTGAACCAAAAATGGAGACCGAAAGAACTCCACTGAGCAATCATAATCCTATGGAATCATTCATCCATAATTAGAATAGAAGTTAAGTTTAGCAAATACAATCAAATTAAAACAATAGACTTCATTGGATAAGTTTTACGTTTTCAATATTGTTTCAAATATGTTCATCTCGTAAACATTTAAAGTTTCAAAAGTTTGGCAGTTGTCAAAATGTGGTAAATTCTGAAAACTTAAATTTTTTATTACATTTGTTTTTTTTTTTAAATTACAAACATATAGTTTTTATTACATCTGTTTAGAAAACAATCATTCTCGTTCCTGTTCTCAATATGTGTAAATATAAACAAGGAATCAAAAATATCAAATTGAACCTAAGTAAGAATTCCGCAGTCCACAGTGATTATTTTCGGGAGCAAAACTTTAGTGCATTATTTTGTCACAAAAATTACTTAAAAATGCTTAGCAAATAACACATAATTTAGTGGAAGCATGGAAAGCTAAAAACATACATACTGCAAATATAAAAGAGTACGAATCCTCAATTCGGAATTCCCGTCTTCCAGAAGCTTCAAATATTTTCCTCTTGTCTTCCACTGAATTTCTCAAAGCGCAAATCATCGACTCCCACATATTCCTATTTAGAGAATCGCCCACATAAACTAACCGCTTTCCTCTCAATAATTCCAATAATTTTCTTCCATTCAACCTGCAATACAACTAAACCAGTCACAGTTAGCAGAATTCAAGAGCTCATATTAAATATTAATAAAACATGGATCATCAATTCAATTTAATGAACATTTGCACTAAATGTCAGTTCAAAAGTGCCATATGAAACCGACCTCATTAGACGAGCACCAGTGACAACAAATTCAGACCAATTAATTATATATAAGCAAAACTGAGAATGCCAAGAAACTGATTGACTCACCTGGGAATATCACAGGCATTGGGTTGCCATCTCAGCTTCTGGTAATTATTATCTGGCCGCCCATTTAGAAAACAGTTAAACTGCTCATCGATGAATGGGCATGAACCAGCACCATATAGAGGGTAAGATTCATCCCTCACCCACGACCCATCATATACATCACATTGATTCATCAAATCCAACGAATCCTCTACCAACGAACTATTTACTTCCCCAGAAGAACCACTATCTAGCTGGGAAAATGAGAATGCGGGATTGTGGGATGGGGTAAAGGAAATTTTGGGAGCAAACGAGGAGGTGGTGGGGAAGACGCGAGAGAAACGGCCGGAGACTTTAGATCCATTGGCGAGCCGAATCGGAGAGTCGTATCTGTTGAAGGCAAACAAGATAGTAAAGGCTGCTACAGCAAAAGTGAAGCTGAAACCATAAACAACGAATGTCGAACTTCGATTTACAAATGAAGTAGACAGACAGGAAAGTGATCTCCTGTTTGTTTCTAGAGTAATATTGGCGCTGGTTGGAGAACCCTTTCTCTTAGTCGATGCGGAGGCAATGGTGGAGTCTGAGGTAAGCAAGACATGGCCGATCAGAACAGGGTCACGACATTCACTGAGAGTTCGCAGGGGTGTCGGTGAGTGCGAGAATAATGCGGGAATGATTATTAATTCTCACGCCGTCATATTTTAATGTCTTACCCTTTTGGCCACTGAAATAATAATTTTTATTTTTAAATAGAAAAAGTAAAGATTAATACAAAAAAAAAAAAAAATTATGCAAGCTAAATCAAATTTAGGAGTTATTTAGTAAATTCAGGTTTACGGGTATATTCTTTTTTAATTTCAAAAATACATATCTCTATTTTTAAATTTAAAATTTTATAAATATTGTTATTTTGAATTATATTTTAAGAGTATATGTTCCAAAATCTAGACTATATACTCTTACTACAAATCATAACTCTAGAATTATACTTAGTTTTAAAAGTATTTATTTCATTTTTATTAAATTTCTTTTTATTTTCCTCACTCTCTTGCATGAGTGTAACTCTATATATACATATATATATATATGTATATATATATATTTATTTATGTGTATATGTATACTACGTGTATAATTTCATCTTTTAAACTTGTTACCTTAATCTCTACATTAGTTTATTAATTTGTTCTCTTAATTATATCAATATATAATATTATAATTTTTTTATATAAGTTTTTACTTTTAAAATAATATATAAAACAACATAGTTCCAAAATATGCTTTAAAAATGAATGTAAAAAAGAACCATGCTTCAATTATCTTTAAAACGCAACTTGCAATTTTAAAGTAAAAAGGAACCATCCTTCAATTTTTCTAACCTTTTATACTTTTACCTTTATTATCGAAATTAAACTATTTTAATAATATGTTTAGTATCATATATTTAAAATAAATTAAATTTGCAATTAATTCAATACTTTTAAATCTTTTATTCCTATTTTTTTATTTTTCTTTAAAATTCTCTCTCTTTTTTTTTTTTTTTTTTGATGTTCTATCCCTAAAATTTTATTTTTCTAAACTTTTCCAATTTTCTTACAAAAGTTGCATTGAAGCCACTCTTACCAAATTCAACACCTCTTTAAATTTTCTTTTCTAAATCTTTAAATCTTTCTTTATTTAAATTTGTCTCTCTAAACTTTTAAAATTTTTCCCTTTCCAAATTTCTTTATCTTTCTTATAGAAACTGTGGTTCAAGACACTCCTACTTATATGATAACTTGCTTTTCAAAATCTTGGAAGATTTTGCAAAGAAATTTCTTCTATGATTTCTAGATCCTAGTGGCGAGCCCCGAGAGTAGAGGGATTCATTGGCTCAAGGAGGATCTCTCAAAACAAAAGCTTGACGTAGGATTATAGACTTCAAAAGATTTCACTTTGTTTAATTAATAAAGCACTATTTGGGAAACAAGCTTGGAGACTACTAAGAAACCATCCTGCCTAGTAGCAACAATTATGAAGGCTAAATATTATTTCAACCCCTCCCTCATTTGGAGGAGCATTTTATATGTTTTGTGATTGTGCTAAGCATGGGGATTTCACTAATTTTTAGTGAAATTGAGAGCATATAATCAAGTTACATGAAGCACAAATAACATATGCAGAATCTTTATTTTTAATGAGATAGACCACAATAGAATGAATTCTCAATTTAAATTGAACTAAATTGATTTTGTTTAATTTTATATGGTTTTTTTGCCAGATCATTTTAAATATTTTCTATTATTTATTAATTATATTGTACTTTATATATTACATTACTCACAATAAATTTTCAATAAATAATATTTTCAAAGAGAAAAAAAGATATTTGACAAACAATATATTGTAGTAACTACATGTAATAAATATTAATTACATAAAGAAATTTGTAAGTAATGATTATTTGAAATTAAAATTTAAATCATATGATAAAATATCTGCCAACCATTTAAACTTGAAGAGTTTGATTTTGATTTGTTTTCTCTTTTTTTTGACTTAAACTTTTAATATATCAAAAAATAAAATATATTTTTATTTTTTAATTAAAAATTAAACTTGTTTTAAAAAGAAAGGGACTTCAACAAAATTTAACTCTGATCTAATCAATTCGATTCCATCCGATTCAATTTGATTGTTTGATTTCAACAACCCTATAAATTGTTTATTTGAGATGGAAAATGTCCTTCCTTTATTCATTTCTAGAGGATCCTAAAATTTACTTAATTATCCTTTTGCTGGGTTCTCTCCTTGTAACTTCCCCAATTCATTGCAGATACCATAATACAATAGCATGACATTTCTTTCAAACTATGTCATGCCCTCTGCAACATATATAGTGCTATTGCTGAGGTTTGAAACCATATTTGAAACTTGAGAAAAAAATCAACTGGGAAGCTAAATGCATTTGAGCTGCAAACAGAACAAAGCATCAGATGGAATGTTCCCAGAATCTCAATGATTTGGCACACTGAGACACAAGCTACTGTGTCAAGTACAAGGAAAATAAAACTGAGACACCAGAATGAAAGTTACGGGAGCTTACCAGCAGATCTAGATGTAGCAGTAGGACAGAAATTAAGGGTCTTTGCTCAAGTGGAGAGCTCTGGAGGTAGACACTTAAGACATGCATCGTGTCCAGTGAACCTTCATTCTGTAAGTCTCTTAAGAATAAATTTATATCTTTCCTCCTGAAATAGCAAGCAGTAGTGGCAGATAATGGTTAAAAAAGTCGGTCAATAGAAAACACAAATCAAAAGAACCTGAAAACAAAGCAATGAGATTAAAATTTCTTGAGGAAGATCCTCTTCTCAGTGTTATCTTTTTCCATCCCATAAACACGCCCGACTCAATTCATTCTACATTAAGTGATTTATTCTTAAATTATGGTTATGAGAAACCCGTAACAATTATTCACATCTGACTTTTCCGGCTATAATATGGCCTAAATTCACTCAATCTGGTGAAGTTGATACATAAAAGAAAACAAAAACATAATACAAACTTAATACCTTTTCAGGCCTATTAGTTCTATCAGTAGTGACACTGCATTTGCTCATGATTTAACCTGCGTGCACTGTATCAACTCCAGAAGACATGACTTGTTAATGTTCCTAGCTATATAATACTCGCAACCATTGTCAGCTTCAATACAAGATGAAAGCAATGCTGCCGCATACGTCCTCCCCTCCAAATTTCTGCATTCAAACCTCCATAACAAAAACTGCATGCCACTAGTAGAAATAAGGAGTTTTCCATTTCTTATGCTCTCTCCTTTGCTGAAAGCAGTAAGAAGCTGCTCTAATATGATTACAGATCTTTCATCCTTTCCAGACATGCATTTCTTTGGAGGTTGAGAGGCAAAACTCAGCTGATGCCTATAGTAATCCGACTTCCAGCCATCAATAACACTCTTCAGAATGAAGTTAGTAGGCGGCACAGATTGACATTCAAGTTGGTTCCCTGTTACAGGACATGTTATGTTTCCTTGTTGAAACCATTTGCCATGGCTGCTTGCTCAAAGTTTTGGCCAGTCTCCAAGGTGACTGGATCTTCAAATAGAAGCCCAGTTAGAGGGCGTAAAAATTCCTGAGGGATGCTTGAGAAAGAGAATTCTTCATATTCTGCATCAGGCATTTTTCACAATTAGAAAGATTCACATATTTATATTTTAGTTAGTTGTAGTTCTCAAAAATAATTGAAAAAATGGTTTTTATGTTCTTCTATTTCACCTACCTTCACCAAAGGACCTCGTGTTGAGTGGCTGCATTGTGAACAAAAAAGGAGCAGGATCAGGGGAAATCAGTAATAATTCATCATATAAAGAAATGAGTGAGTTGTCAAGGAGTTGGTACATTAGAAAAATAGATTTTGCTCATAGGATCTTCAGTTTGATGAAGTCAAAAAATAGATTTTGCTAGTCTCTTGATTTCAAATTTATTTGCATCTTTATAAGTGTGTTTATATGCAAGGTGTCTTAAATTTCTGGGAACAAAGAAGGATTGCTAAAATTGTCACATATATCTGCATTGCCTAGAGTAGCCTTGTGCAATCGCCATAAATTCTAATCAGATAGTCCATTTTACAGAAATCATGGAAAACAAGAGCATGGCACATCATACGATATAGAGGAATACCTACCTTCTTAATAGTTGTAAGCGGTTCACCGTAGATAATGATACTTAAAATTAGAAGGGTGAATTATACTTTTGGTTTGTTGTTTCATCCAAATTCCATTTGGTTCTCATAGTTTCAATTGTAGAAGATTTAAGTCTCAAGATTTCAGTAGCACGCTACATTGGGTCTCTGGTTGACTTTTTTCCAAAAGTATAGATTACACACAATTGAGGGATCTATGGAAAGGTTTCGACAAACCTAGAAGATCCATGTATGAATGAATAATTTATAGTGGTAAATAAGTCAAAAAGAAGATGATGATGATGATGATGGTGAAGCCTTAAAATATAACATATATTCTAAAGCCTCACTTTAAACAAATTTTTGGGCATAAAACTGAAAAGATATTATAATAGTCATTCTTTGTTCCAACTTGTAAAACAAAGCAGGACAACTCCCTTGCAAAACATTCCTACAGAAAATATTCAGCTAAAGTTACAAGGAAGAGATGGCAAAATTCTTCAGAGAAAAATTGCTGGTGCGTTGGACTCCTATGAGTTGGAAAGCACAGGGGCAAGATTAAGTTCTAGAATTATGAAGTGATCCTCACTTCATGGGAACTCACAGCACCCATTAGATGTTTTTGGCATTCAGTAAACCACTAAATTCCCTTGGCTGTACATGGAAGACTTCTAGATTTTTCTGATGGAACCACTTAAAGTTCTAGGATGACAATGGCAGTTAAAAGTGCAGCAACTAGTGTCAAGGAATTAACGTTTGAAAAAACAATAACTTACAGTATGGAATGCTTCATCTTGTTCACAATGCTGATCCATTGTTTAACTGTTGCAGAAGAGCATATTAATGCTTCTTTGTCTTTAAGAGCAGAACCAGCAGATGTCCATATGCCATTATCAGTGTCCTCTACTAACTTAAAATCCTGCAGTCCTTTGTCTCCTGTTCTAGGTGAACGACCAGATTCTGCATCATATGATCTTTCCCTGAACATAGATTGATGTGAACCATTAGATGTTCCCACCTCCAT